TCCTCCAATCAAGGGTTTTGAATAACATTGCAATTGCCTTATCTACATCCCATTTTCGAGCTCTGACATATCTAAGCACCAAATTGTCAATTAAATCATTCCGTGCCCCTCCAAACATTCCTTTATGAATTGTGGTAGGATCATAATTAGACATCAGGGGTAAGAATGTACTATGATGTTTTGGCAAAACTCTTCTTCTCTCTTCGAAGATATCTGAAAAAATTGAAGCTTGATCTTTCTTCGTTGATCCATTTGTGTAATGAGGTGAAAAATCAAATGCAGTGAAGGAAGTAGACGCAGTCACAAAACTTTCAATAGATTCATTATCGGTATCACCAAAACAGCTATCGCTTTCATTTTCTGTGGAGTCCTCAGAATATTCAAAACTGCTTTTGTAATAATGTCCATAAATATCATAAACTACTTGACTGGGGATCTCAATCGGATAATACCTTTCCTTAGAAGATTGAGTCTGGATTTGTCTCAATCTCCTGGAATCAGGACGTGGTCCCTCGTTTGTTGTTGGAGTTTCTCTCTTGCTTCCAAATAAGCTTCTTCTTCTTGACATAGTAGATTGAGCAGCCTTTGAAGAAGTGAATGAAGTTCTAGATGCCGTTCTACGAAGTGGAATTGGACCAGAATTAGAATAACCGTAGCGTTGAGTACTGGTACTTGCAACAAAACATTCATTATATGGAAGATCTTCATTGTCAATGTCAAGATGATAACCGGTATATTTCATTATATATGCCCATGTTCTTTTGAGGATAATTTCTTGTTCCGCAGTAAGAGTTTGGATTCTACCTGGACGGTAGATAACCTTTTCATTGGCCATGATCGTTTGCTAACTTTTGCAAGATAAGACCAGCACTTTCTTATCCTTCCATAATCGAATCTCGTGAGGGATAGTGCTATTTAAATATACTCCGTTGAGGGGTTATGAATTCCATTGGTAAGGGGTGGCTGATATACTCAACTAATTTTTGTATCCCAAATAGGAAGAAAAGTTTTGCGACAAATTTTTTCTTACTAGATCTCTTAAACCAACAAATCTACTGGTCGGCTAAGTAGAACCGTTGTTAATTGATTCGCTTTATCTCCACCTTTTTCCTTCCCTGCCGCCTCGTTTGGTCTCCTTCTAATCTAAAGCTGTAACTTTTTTCAAATAGCATGTATTAACTCATGCTCCTGATATGCTTATGCCATACTAATCGAATGACTGTTACAATTAAACAGGGGCACAAAAACAAACTTTGAGCCTAATTAGGAAATCCGGGTTTGATATTTCATGAGATATTGATTGTCAGTTGTGTCCACATGTCAATCATTGTTATAATCTCGAACAATGGATTCCCCGCAAAAATTTGGCTAACTCCGGATCGAATTCAGCCAACAAAAACAACAATGTCTAAGATCTGTTTCTCTGTCTCTCGATTGAATATAGATACTAGACTGAATATATCACTAATGATTAATAGGAACTGGGCTTTGTTATAGTTTTGTCAGGATGGTCATTCCGATTCAATTGTAGTTCGAAAAAAACAGAATTGTTAAGTAGGCGGGGGAGCGATAAGCAATCACATGACAGCCTAATTCCAGCCCATTTTCGAAATTGCAAGAAATGCCGGCACAATTCGGGGTATAATGATTAATAATACGAATTCGGAACACCGTCGTATCCATATTTCCAACCTGTCGAAATGCTACCCTTATTGGTCTAAATTGAGTGAGATTTAGTGATTTTGTTTTCGTGGTTGATGTCATCTTGAGTGCAAGATTACTCCAATACTTAACGGATGTTATTTCTTTATGGTTATATGCAAATATGTATATGGAATTCCCGGAAACGTATTCGATAGTTTAGCAACATCTTATGTTGCGAAAGCTTTCCAGTCTGAATGTTATCTTTTCATTTATTTGCATCTTTTTTTGGTAAAATTTCTCTACAAAATTAAAAGTCAAATCTTTGATTTAAACCGAGTATAGAGTTGACTTTTCTGGGAGAGATCCTAAGAGCAAGCAAACCAAGGTATTCTGTTTCAAAAATAAGGAAGAATTGACCATCCCTAACTTGAATGTAAGCCACCCCAGATACTGGATTTATTTTCAAGCTCCAAACTTTTTTTAGTCTCGCTTAAGAATATTCACCTAAACGAATATTTTTTAGTCTAATTCTGTCATACTTAATATGCACAAACTTTCTTGAAGCTCTTTTGCTGAACAACATAAACCTTCAAACCTACTAGGACGTAGATCTATAAAACTCACTTCTCTACTTTGCTTACAAATAAATAAAATTAAACATAATATACACTGCACGAGATAACGACACTTTGGAATCCTCACTTCAGGTCAATATCATTTTAATTGGACAATACCAATGATCGATCTCTGTCATACATGCCTCTGTTTCTAATATATCGATCCAATTTAATATAATTCTCACTCAACTGAATGTTCAATTCTAACTTATCTTTGAAATATATATCTGAAACGGAAGCATTTGTAGGCTTGACCTACCTTTTCATAACTCCGTTGAATGTATCTTTGATATATGAGATTGGCAGGGGATTGACAACTTAAGAAATAGTTACTCATTCTCTTTTATGCAATTAAATAATGAATATCCCGCTTAAAATGAAGATGCATTTGAAAAAATGGCAACAAATCCAGGGATCAACAAATCCAGTGGAAGTTTTCTTCATAAGAGTTGTTTGTTTTTGGGCTGCAAACAGAATAATGCACCAAGCTTCATTGAAAAGCAATGTCAAGAGGGCTGCAATTCTGTCAATTCAGAAGCCATATATAAACGCTTATTACTCAGAAGAGAAACCTTTGGCTTAACCAAACAAAATTTTTGAATCTAAATAAATATAATCTACAAAATAGCGGCAGCCAGGCGACACTACAAAATAGTCTATATATATTCTCTATGCTACACTAAAAACAATCCATATCAATTGGAAACCTTCAAAGTCCCATCTCTATCATAAATACCTCTATTTCTAACATATGGATCCATTTCGAGATAATTATAACTCAATTGAGTACACAAGTCCAATTTATCTTTATAATACATATCGGAAACCATTGGACTTGTAGATTCAACCCATCTTTTTGTCGTTTCTAAGAATCTCAAGAATAATTCATCTCGTTTATGTCTTAATTGGTTATATGTCGCATCCTTTGGTTTTGGAGGTCTGTCATCAGTTTCATCCGGAATTGGATACACCGCTCTTTTTGTATCTTTCCCACCAAGATAATCAGGAATGAATTTAGGATCAATGAATTTACCGAGCTCAGCAGCATTCTTTGTGAAATTGATCTTAGCAGCCACAAAAGGATCAATCCAACCTTTAATAATATTCCAAACAGTTGAGAAAATCCATGGTGCATTATGAACTAATATGAATCCCAATGTTTCAGGATAATGAGCTTCCAAACATTCAGCAAGAAATTTAATACTGGCATAATCGGCATTCTTCAATGTGAATCCAGTCAAATCGAAAACTACAGTCACAGTATCACAAGATTCATTAATATCCCTCAAGAAAAGTCTGATAGTTTCAATAGTTAGTATGACAAATCTTTTCCCTTGTTCAACTGTGGAATCAGATGCAAAGTGTTTCTTTGCCTGAAAGACATAAATTGGATTATTAAATTTATCCCTTCCTTTAATCCAAGCCTTTTCGGTTGTTAAATTCTTAATGAATCCCTGATTGATGCCTTGTAAATAAGATGGTCCATCCGCTTCATATACCCATTTATCAGCTGGCATATCATTGACTCTCCAATCGAGAGACCTAAAAAGCATCTGAAGCGCCTTTTCAGTATCCCATTTTCTGGCTCTAACGAACCTTAATATTAAGTTATCAAGTAAATCATTCCTAGCAGCTTGAACCATAGCACGTTGAATATCATGAGGATTATAGTCAGCAAAGAATGATAAAAGGTTTGGATTATGGTGTATGGATTTATGCTTGCCGGCGGTAGATCTGTAATCGTTGGTAGATGGAACTTTAGTCCTCAGAGATCCACTACTGAGGGCTGGACGGAAATTAATGTCATCGAAGCTAGTGGAGGCAGTAACAAAAGAATCAACTGAATATTGGGAAGCAGTATCGTTGTCGTTGTAATAATCAGAATCTTCGACATAATCGTCAGCATACTCATAAGAGCATTTATAATGATGTCCATAAAGATCATAAAATTGTTGACTTGGAGTTGCGACAGGATAATATCTTTCTTGAGAAGATTGCGTTTGAATTTGTCTCATTCTTCTTGAATCTGGAGATGGTGAATCAACAGAAGTTACCTCAACCTGCTTTTTCCCCCTAAATAAACCACCTCTCTTCTTTGTTGATACCTTTGAATTTTGGGAAACTTTAGTCATTACACTAGTTAAAGGTAATGGAGCAAGTTGTGATACATCACGAATTTCTGTGCTTGTACTGGCTATAAAGCATTCTTTATATTTGAGATCTTCATCATCAATGTTGATTTCATAACCAAGATACTTCAAAATATAAGCCCAAGTTTGTTTAAGAACAATTTCTTGCTCTGCTGTAAGAGCTTGATATCTTCCTGGACGATACTTTACACTCTGAATTGTCATTTTGTTTGGAGTGTGTTAGTTATAATTAGCGGTGTATTGAGAGTGATAATCTAAAATTGAAAATTTCCCACTTTTTCCCCAAAAATTAAAGCCTAAAACTAAAAAAAGATTTTTTTTTGAATTTTCGTGTATCGTTATTTAATTAAATAAGGAAAAGGGAAAAGACAGTTGATAGATTATATATGTGGGGGTCGGAGTCATTACAATTTTCCCAACCAATCCCTTTCATTATAATGACTTTGACAATCTACAAAATAATACCAAATTCTTTCTTGTCATAATGACTTTAATCATTTTCACACTTCTACACTGCCTCTATCAGAAGATCTTTCGCAACTATTTTTTTTATTTTCTCGTATATCTTGGGTTCTTTCCTAATTCGGAAATTGCTCCCCACCGACCTACCTACCACCATTACCAATCCCATCGGTTCACCCCCACCAACTTGGAAATACTTCAGATTTTCCCAACAAGCACATTGTTGCATGTGAAATCTAAAAAAATATGTCTTGTTCATGTACACAATTAAGTAAAGCTTACCGTATTCGGTAAAACCATAGTTCCACCAAATTCCTGCATCGATACACACCCTGGAGACAATAGAATTATCCCCTTGAAGGTTCTATTTAGCGCAAATTCCTCGCTAACTCAATTTACCAAAGCCGAAGCACCAGCAATCTTGTGACCAGTTGGATTTTATTATTTTAAAGCGGGTCACTTTTAAAGCCGGTCTGACGGATTTAATTTCCCTCTCACACACTTGAGTCAGATCTAAGGTTTACGTATAACATACATATTAAAATTGTAAATTAATTATACAAAAACTTACTATAACTTAAATATACTATACACTAAAACATCTATCATCTCCTGGTTCTACTCCTAGGCATAAGTATCCTTCTTTGAGGAGGCAAGGATGGTGTATATCCTGCAGGTGGATTCCCAAACGTAAATCCGGACAGTGGGGCTCCAAGTGGGGCAGCACCTCCGACACCAGCACCACCAAAACCTCCACCTCCTTGTGATGCTCCAAAAGCAGGCGCTCCTGCTGATGATCCAAAAGCTGTAGGAACCGAGGTTGTCATTCCAGCACCACCAGGACCTGATCCAAATGCATTTTGACCACTTACACCAAATGGAGTCCCCTCGCGTGAAGTTGCAGCAGCACCGCCTGTGATATTATGTGCGGCGAAAATTGAAGCAGGATCAGGAGAAGTTGTTTTACTCGCACCTGTGAAATTAAATTGTGGAATTTTATTAAACCCACCTGGTGTCACCGCAGGTGCACCAACGCCAGCACCACCACTAAACCCAAATGATGTAGATGGAGCATTGTTCTGTTGTGGTGGTTGTCCGAATGTGGATGATGCACCTTGGCCCATTGAAAATGAAGTTGGTGGAGCTGATGCTGCTCCACTACCTGCACCTAAATTAAAACTAAAAGCAGGCTGACTTGGCGTACTTGCGGCTGGTGGACTTATACCAGGTGCGAATTTAAACTCAGGCTTTGACGGAGTTGTACCCAACCCGATGCCTGGTTTTGTAGCAGTTTGACCAAATGAAAACGCTGGTTTAGCAGTTGAGTCTTTCCCAGCACTGCCAGCACTACCACTACCAAATGCAAATGATGTAGATGCCGGTGCATTAGGTGTTGTTGTAGAAGCACCACCTCCAAACTTGAATGGTGTAGTAGATGCTCCAAATTGAGCTGTGGCCGATGTTGAAGCTACACTCCCCGTTCCAAATTTAAACGGAGTAGAACTGGCTGAACTTGTAGCGCTTGGAGCCGGTGCAGCTTCGTTAGTATTGCTAACAGCAGAAAACATTCCTTGTGATTCTTTAGAAGATGGAGCTGATTCATTACCCTTGGCACCACCAATCGAGAACTTCGGAACTGTACTGGCTGCAGTTGGTTCATCTAATTTCTTACCGAATCCAAACGATGGAGCTGGTTTATCTTTATTACCGAACCCGAATGATACAGAACCATTTTCTTTGGATTCATCTTTCTTGCCAAATAATAAATTAGTAGAAGCTGTAGTAGGAGCAGCAGAATTGCCAAGTGATAATTGAGGAATAGGAGATTCACTTGTTTTGAATCCCAATGAGAAAGCAGGTGGTTTTATACCATTAGACTCTTTAATTTCTTCTGGCTTCTTTCCAAACAAGTTAGTTGTAGTTGATTCATCCTTGCTACCAAATGCAAATGCTGGGGCTGAAGTTTTTGGAGCTTCATCATCTTTCTTACTAAATGAGAATGCGGTAGCAGAAGCTGGAGCTTCGTCCTTCTTATCAAAGGAAAATGCAAGTGCTGTGGTCTTTGTAGCTTCGTCTTTCTTCCCAAATGAGAATGTAGGCGCAGTAGCAGGAGCCTCATTATCCTTCTTACCAAAACCGAACGTCGCCGTACTAGTAGATTCCTGTGCTGGTGGTTTACCGAATAATAATTTTGGTGCAGCAGCTTCACCTTGTTTAGTTTCATCTGGTTTCGTAGCCTCTTCAACAGGTTTACCAAATTCAAACTTACCTGTTGCTTCCTTAGCCGGTTCACCAAAACTTATAGATGGTTTACTAGTAGCCTCTGTATCTTTCTTTCCAAAAAGACCACCAGAGGGAATTTTGTTGTCAAATAATCCACCAGATGATGCAGGTTTGCCAAATAATAATTTTGGTGCTGTTCCCTCGTCCGTCTTCTTGTTGCTTTCATCAGTAGATCCAAGCTTAGTTCCAAAACTAAAAGCAGGGGTAGCTCTCTTTGCTGATTCAGTTGAAGTAGGTGCTGGTTCCTCGTTGTCTCCACTTGAGAGCCTTCTTTTACTTTTCTTTGGTTCTTCATCTGGCTGCTTCCCAAATAATAAAGAAGAAGGTTTGGAAGCTTCCCCTGGTTTCTTATTCCCAAACAATAAAGAAGGTGTGCTAGCGGTTGTTGCTTGCGGTTTATCACCGAATAATATACTTGATGCTTCTGGCTTTTTAGTTTCAGTTTCAGGTTTCTTTCCAAATAATCCGCTTATCGTTTCTGGTTTTTCGGTCTCCGCTTCTCCTTCAATATTTTTAACACTTCCAAATTTCAAAGGTTGATTAATTAACTTCGACTTCTCAATCAACTCATCATTCTCTTTACGTTGTTGTAAAATACCATTTATGTTGTCCTGCTTAATATCAAACTTAAACCCAGAAGAAGGACCTGCTGCTGTTGAGGTGTCTGATTTCTTTTTCTCTATTGCTGAGTCTTTCAACTTGATAATATTTGACACAGATTCTGATCTCTTGACATAATCTTCATCTAATACAAAATTCTTACCTCTATTATCCAATACTGACTCACGATCACGCAGTCTATTCTGTCCAAATCGTTTCAAAGTTGGATCTTCATCTTGTTGAGGAATTATTTTTGTAATTGGTTTATTCTCAACCACTGGCTTATTAAAACCTGGTTTACTAATATTTCCTAAATATCCACTAAATTTCCCACTTGATCCTCCAGTTGTTGAAATTGAATCTTGATCAGGATTTTGAATAATATCATACATGAACTCACCTGAAAAGTATCCTTTTGAATTTTTGGGTCGTTTAGGTTGTCTTGAGGTTATGGATGGTTCCAATTTTCTTTTGAACTTTAATCTACTGGTCAAATAGCCTATATCATGTGTTTGAGTACAACTATCCACTTTATTACCACCAATACTCAGCACAAAACTGCTTGTGGTTGAAGTTTCATTCGGATCTTTCATGTATTTAATTCTCTTTTGTAAGGATTCGGATGCTTCAATAGACCTCTTTAATTGAAGCAAATGGTGACGCTCTCTCGGATCCAAATTAATAAATGGTGGACGAACCAATTGTCCTTCTTCATCTATATACAATGGAGCATATTCATGTTCAATTATTAAAGGTCGCTGTGCAGTTCCTGTTGCTTCTGCCATTGTGTCTTGGCTTCCGCTTAATATCATTAGCTCTTGTTCTTGTGGTTGTGGGATAGCTTCAAGCAGAGGTGAATTGTCTCTACTTGTTACAGGAGGAGGGGTAACAGCGTCTTTTGTCAACAATTCTCCATATTGACTAGGTATTTTACGTTCCAAGTCATTAATCAATTCTTCCTTTTGAGTTTTGAGATTCATACGTAGACTCAGATATGTGCGTGAATCAATTGATAATGATGGTGATCTTGGGATTGCCAGACTAGATGGATGTCCTTGAATTGAGAATCGTTTTTTCTTTTCTGATGCAACTGAAGACGTGACCATTGGTACTTCAAAATCAAATGATGTTAATGAATTATTCTTGCTTGATGCTGCGATAGGTGGAGTGGTTGTTGCTGGCGGTGGTGGCATATCTGATTGTGATTTCAGAAACAATATATTCTTTAACTTTGAGAAATAGGAAGTAGAAGTAGAAGATGCGTTGCTGCCATTATTGTTATTATTATCATCTGATGGTGGTAGTTTAAATAATGATGATTGGGTATGAGGACTGATTGATCTTCTTCTGTTTCTATCACTCATCTCTCTATTGTCTATGTATGTATTAATGTATGTATCTATGTGATAGATGTTTGATATTAGATTGAATGATGATGTTATAATCAGAATGTTATGAAATTTGACAACAGAAATTTAAAATAAAAAAAAAATTTAGAAATTGGGCGATGGAACCAAATTTCAGTTTTTTTTTTGTTTGTTGTTCCATAACAGATTCTACTTATGGTTAGTTTAAATATGAGGTAATAAGTACGAAACTAATATCAGTAGAAAATACTTAAATAATACTCTCTAATTCCAAAGAAAGAAGTGGTTTCTTAGCACAAACAGAAAAGGATGCTTGTCTCTAGAATATTCTTCGTATTAAATGGCCAATTTGCAGTCTTCTTTCCATAATAAAGTTGCACCCGTCAAGTGGTAGCGCATTCGTTGGAGATATCTGTTGATGGCGATAATATTTGTCAATGCTTGTATAAATGGAGCTTAACACATTTTCACTTTCTCCTGGTGCCCATTGCAATATTCACAAAGCATTTAAGTATATCATAGTAGAATTCTCGCATATGAAATTAAAAACGCAAACTAAACAAATATACAAATATGTAATTTCTCTATTGCTCTTCTGATGCTAAACTATCGTCATACTCAGAAACTGAAAACTCAGCTTTTTGTCCATATGGAATAGGATATCCATATGATTGAGGATACGATAAACCAGTCGCAGGGTTAAATTGTTGATTCAACGTCAACCCTTGTCTATTCTCATTAAATACATCATCATCAGGTTCAGCATCATAATACGACAAAGCAGGATTGGTTAATCCCAATATTGGATCATCTCTTGCAATAACATCAATATCCTTAATCAATTTAATCATACTATTCTCACCAAAATTAATTCCATACAGAGCACTGATTGGAATAACCCCTTGAACCCAAGCATCGACAATTCTTGCTCTTTGTTTGGTACCTAATCGACTAATTGGGAATTCTCCCTTTCTAATAAACGCAATAATATCAATCACAATATGATGTTTACTCAAAACAGTATTAATAATCAATGGAACTAATGATGCGAAGAATCGAGTCCTCTTAGATTCACACACTAGAATCGTATAATCAGCACATTTAAAAACACATGACCCGTTCTTATAAATATCAGAATGACATGATTCAATCGTATTCTCAATATCAATTGGGAAGTGATGTAATCCCAATACTTCAAATGTTTCCGAAATCTTTCCTAATACAAACAATGGTTGAAATGATGAAATTTCCGGCTCATGATTGGCAGATGTTTCACTTCCATTCTTGGTAATAGATATATTATGCAAGAAACCTAAATCTCCAGTACGGGCATATTTCATTTCTGGATCCCCATCAGCAATCACAGCATTGAATTGTGCTTGACTGAAACCATCCACTGGACCTTTTGGACCATTAGTAAATGAAGTAAGATTCGCTTCTGACTTAATCCAAATCTCTCCAAATTCACCTTCTCGACATACTTTTCTAGTTTCGGGATTAACAATAGCAATCTCAGTACATACAGGTACCATTCCTGAATCTTGAACGTGTAAAGCATTAGGCACTTCCGCTTGATTCACTAGTGAAACATATCCCTGTCTAAGAGCAATTGGATCTAGGTATAAATCAACTGGAGCAACAGTCATATATGAACGAGTAGCCACAATTGGATTAAAATAATGGTTATGGACAGTTGACATCGAAGCAGCACTTAATTTGGTGGGTGTAAATACTCGAGAAATCTTTCTCAAGAAATCAATTTCCACTCTATTTTCAGTACTAATCATCATGTTCTTCAAACTTGACAAATTAAAACCCTTAGGAGTGAATTTAATGGCGGCATATTTAAGCATTTGTTCAGTAACGAAAACATCTTTAACTTTATACCTTGCAAGTGTAAGGAAAAATGAAAGTGGATTTTCAGCATAATTAACGGGTGAACTTAGGTATGTAGTTGTACCTAAAAACACACCCAATAAACAAGCCTGAACAAATCCAATTCCTGAAGCATGACGAACGCATCCAACAATTGGTGTTTGGGAATTCATATTACATGTTTCTTTGAATACCTTACATATACCAATTATATTCCTATTACTCAATGTTGTACCAACACGATAATGATCCGAGGAGAAATTTAACCATACCAATGCGGTTGTATGTTCATCCCTGAAATTAACTGCGGCTTGATAAGTTGAAATCTTTGAATTCAACAGGGCAAGATTAGGCAACTTAGTCAATTTCGTCGTATTCTTAATCTTCAAGCCCTTCACTCGCTTGTGACTGATCTTTTTCAACGAATCAGCAACCGGACCATTCTTTAAGAATTTCTCAATTTCATCATTCACTAAAATTTCCGAAATGTCAAAATCTCGAATCACACCCACAAATGCTGGGAAATCTTCCCCAATACGATTGGAATCAAATGGAAGCATAGGAACTGCAATAATGCCACATATCAAACATGCATGAACTGCAATCACGAATTCTTCAGAAAGCGAATACATTAATATTACATATTGTCCTGGTTTAACTGCAGCTTTCTCAATCAAGTAATGACAGACAGCATATACACGATTTTCAAATTTCCTCCAAGTCAATGGTTTTGATTTACTATTATTGTCAACATTCTGGAATGCAATGGCGTCAGGCTGTTTGGCAACCCGCAATTTCAATATATCAGCAATACTTTTAAAATCAGTCAATGGTGCACCTGTCTTATCGTCAATTGATTTTTCTCGATAATCTACTGAAGAATATTGTTCTGCGAAATTTGCAAGTGCCAATGATCTTAATTCAGAAACATAAGGGGACCAAATACCACCAATTATATCTTCACCATGTGGGATCATACTTATAGATTTCCTGACGAAAAATTTAACAAAATCTGCACGTAAAGACCCTTCAAGGAATCTCTTTTTACACAACATATTGGCAATTTCTCGACCTCCACTCCTCATAATCTTAGGTAATGTGTCACAATCAACAACCAATACACAATATAATCTTAATAAATGTCTTTTGTATAAAGTATCAAAACATTTCTCAGCAATCGCATTCAACACAGGTTCATTCAAAGGAACTCCGCTAATAAAATCACCTTCTGCATTCTTCTTTGTTCCTCCAGATCCAGGCTGCCCATCTGCAGTACCCGAATCATCAACCGTTTTCCTAATCACTTCGGCTTCAACTATAGCAACTGGTAAATATTCATTCCCGATAAAGATATCAAATATAGTACAATCATAGACCTGTTTAACTTCACTAGCTAACGTAGCCAATAAATGCGATGAATAATGATACCTTGATCCATTTTCAATTACCAATTCTCGATTCATCTTACTATATAATTTTTGATCAATCCAACTGATTCTTTGTCGTATTCTATCTTCATATAAACCAAGAACATATACCTTCCCATTGAATGTAAATCCCAATAATCCAGTTCTCAAGAAATCCTGTTCTAAATACCCATATGGACCACGGCATTTCGCATGGAAAATCAGCTTGGATTCTTTTCGTAGTCCATAGAATCCCCCAGGGAGACAAGGACTGTCTATCCAAACCTCCCCCAATTCTCCTTTACTTACCAAAATCGACAGTTCTGGATTAACCACCGCCAACGTAGCATCAGCCAAGGGGTATCCGAATGCATCTACCCTTAATAAACCATTACTCACATCATCTGAAGTTGACGGATTTGTTTCCACAATCTGAACAACGTTTCTCGAAAGTGCTTCTTTATCAATTAGAACAGAAGATAGATCACCACCAGATGAAGACTCGGAATCCTCTTTTGAAAGCGTTATTCCTAATTTATCTTTTCCTCCTATCCAATCACGTAATGAGATAACCATTCCACCATAATCGCTTAGAGTTAACATTGGAATAATTGCATTTTCAGGATGTTGACAACCCAAAGGTCTTAAATATCTTTGTGATAAAATTTCCACAAATTCTCCATCAATAGTTAATGCATTTACTAATACCCATTTCACGGATGAAAAATCCACTCGTTGGGTTTTTGAAAAATATCTAGTTGCGTTTGGACTCAGTTGATAATCATAAGTGACTCGTTTCAACCCAATATAATCCGCAAGTAATAACGATGCACGACATTTTGTTATAATATTCGCATATAAACCTTGGACTTCCATGACTCGTTGATGTGCCCAAATAGTGATATTCCCGGAATAAATATTAAACAACACTCCCAAAATCATTCCGATCGAGAACCTAATATCCAAGGTAGCTAAAACAACTTTAGCATCTCGTTTGAGATCACGATAACTCCTCTGTAGAGCACCTCCAGCATTTGGTAAACTCAGAAGGGAAACATTAAGACAATGCATTTGATGCTGTATTGTTCGGTGACTAAGAGCAATTCCTCTTAATTCACCCAATGGAGATCTTGAAAATTCCACATATGCCAAATTTGTACCATTATCGTTGTTCTTTGCTTTCTGTCTGCTTTTTTGTCTCATATCCCAATGAACTATTTCTGATTTCTTAGCTGATCCAAATTCAGTTGTTCTCCATTTAGTCAATTTAGAGGGCCAATTGATTCTCAGATTTTGTGCATTAAGTCGGTCTAGTTCTTTGGCAACAGTTTCAGAATAAAGGAGCAATTTGGTTCCTGTTAATCCTATAATCTCTAATACTTCATGTAAGGATATATCTTGATGAATTGGGATAGCAGTCACACCAGCCATGAAACAACCAAACAATGCAACTACAAATTCAGCTACTTCACCTTCCTTATATAACAAGACAACCGTATCACTATTCTTTAACGTTAATTTATGTTGGATTTCATAAGCAACTTTCATACTTTTTAGATATAATTTCTCCCAAGTTATTGAATTAACTTCTTTTCCTCTTGAATCCAACACAATAAATGCTTGTTCTGCTTTATAAATATTTGCTCTTTTGGCTAATATATCAACTAGATCATCGTCATCTTCTTTCGATCTATTTGAATTCATTAAATCAGCTGATCTTCTTGGATTCAATGGCATTTCCAATTTTGATGGATCTAATTGAATATCTGGTTGTTGTTGTTTTTGATGTAGTCTACTGATAGATTGCATGATTTCTTCTCTTCTATTAATATAAGTCCACTGATCAATAGTTTTATTAACCATAAAATCTTCATCTAATTTCTGTAATAATATAGCCATATCAGGAGGGATATCGACACCTCCTCCTGTAGTTCCAGAAGCGACATTGGGTGTTGATGAGCCCATGACTAAACTTGGATCAGTGGTAGTTAATGTTCCTAAATCCGGATGAATTAATCCAACACCTGCTGAACCAGATCTGGCTCTATTTGAGCTTCCACCAATATCTTTCTGTGACATTTCTAGGTAAAGGGTTGATAATTTTGTGAACAGGTTGTTGAAATGATTGGTTGTAAAAATCTTGTGGGAGTTTTCGGTTGTTCATTTGTTACATTTGATAAATTTTATTCTGATTGTAAATGTCGTATCAGGGTGGTATGTCGCAGATCGTTGAATGTCGTTCTCATCACAATAATTTTTTTTCTTTGGGGCCAAAATTTTATTGAATCGTTTACTTATTACATCACAAGACACACAAGTACAATAACAACAAAGACTAAATGTTAAGATATTCGAATAGCGGACATCTAACTCATTTGTTAAAGCGTCCAGGCGTAGCTACCCTAACGATAGTCCCACAAAGGAATCTATTTGTGTTACTGGAACAACAGAAAAAGCTCAGGCTCAAATCACCATCATCAAAGAAACCATCTACCAAGTACCCAACACCAAAGCAAGCTATTTCAGAGGAACCTATTCGAGAAGCAGATACAAATTTCAGAAAGCAGTTTAGTGAGTTGAAACACTTCACATCTCAGATTTCGGACAGATTACATGCTAAAGATACCTTGGATATTCCCACCAAATTACTTAACAAAGCAGCTGAGGATATCTATGAGACAGCTATTCGTAAAAATGGCAAGGGGATTGCAGAATCAGATTCCGAACTGGTTGCAGAATCGGATTCGATGCTGGTTCTGCAAATCCCTACTGCTAGTATCACCGTCTCGGAAAAGCCATTAAAGCTTGATCCGAAGATAGCTAACCGACTAGGACTTGCTGTGGAGTATCTTGCCAGTAATCAAGTTAAAAACTGGCCGATGATTCTTGATCAATTAGAAAAAGGAGGGGGGCTTAAAGGTTTAACTGCTAAAGAAATTTTTAGATTCATACAAAATATACCTGCAAACCAATTAGTGACACTTTTACCAGATATTGAAAATATGCATCAAAGTGCCGGAGTTAAGATAAGTCGAGGAACATATCGACTTTTCCTTCGTGCTTTAATAACAGGGACCAAAGTAAAACCAAGCGTACTCAAATTGTTCGAATATTACATCCATAAAATGCAAATGATAGGTGAATTAAGACCCGACGACTATGGATTCTTAATAGAGGCTTATTTCAAAGCTTCCAGACTAGATAAAGTTGAACAAACATTACGTGAAATGAAAAAGAAGGATATTCCTTTGGGCAAACAACATTACGAGTTGGTCATGCGAGGTTATGGTTTTAATGAAAAGGAACATTCAAAGGCGTTACAGATATTCGATGGTATGAAATTCTTATCTCAAGAGACTAAACCTGATCAAGCACAATATAACGCTATCATAAGATCATGTGCTATGAACGGAGAAATCGAGAAGGCATTAGATTTATACCAAGAAATGCTCACAAATAATATCCCTCCAGATATGCGCATAATAAGTACATTGGCGGTTGGATGTCTGAGAAGTCAATATTTGAAACCAAGAGCCTGGGAATTCATGTTTCAAATCTATGACAATAAATGGACTCCAGATATTCAAACCTATACAGAATTCATATATCTTGCTGCTCAAGATGGTGATGTTGACATGGCCAGAGCACTTTTCTATAAATTGTTGGAAACAAAATTAGTTACCCCTTATGCATTAGGTCACTTGCTTTTAGCCTATTCTAAATTTATCCCCTTAAATGAAAGGAAAAAACCCTTTAAGATTTTAGATTTAGAGAGAGGAAAGAATTTCAGAAGAAATCTAGTGCTGGAAATCGATTTCACTAAACCAGTGCTTGACTTTGCATTCTTACCTTACTCCAGTCTTAGTGAACCATCTCACGTATTAGCCGAATCTAATGCTTTATGGGCCTATATAGTGCTGAGTGCTCCTGATCTTATTGGATCCGAGTTAGTTGGTTCATACTTGAACATCGCGGCTAATTTGGGTGACATGGCGGAATTCAAAGATAGATATTATTCAACAACATATTTCGATAAATCCGGACTTCCCAGAACTCGGGAAGTAGAAATAATCGAAGAAGATTCTTCCACCCAGCAAATCCAATCAGAAGAATCTCCACTTCCTTCGTCATTGTCCGAAGAACAATCCGAGATTAAATCGCCATTCCTCATTCAATTGCAACAATTGTCTCAGACTGACAGATACAAAATCCCTCGTGAATCTATGAAATATATGATCGCCGTAAAAGCAGCCGGAGCTAATCAAGACCTCAAATTCCTCAATGAAATCATAAAGGAACGTGGTGAATATAGAAGAACAGATGCCTACAAGGCAATCAAACCTAAGGAGCAAAAGCGACTCGATTTCGAGTTTGCCAAGTGTTTGGTCCAGGCATATACCAAGATGAACTTATTGGACGATGCATTGGGTGTGGTTGTCTCGAGTCGACATAATTTCAATTGGAGCTGGAGACAACTTTCACCATTGTCTACAGCAGCTTCAAAAATTGGTAACATATGGATGACAAATACTTTAAGAGATATTGTCAGTGAAGGACAAATTGCCCATGGAGGGAAGGTTACCAAACAACAATATCAAGTAGCTTCTTTAAGAAACAAAGACCGTCGTAAAGTATGGCGAAATGTGTAAATAGTGTGCTCATATATGATTATGTAAATAGAAATTGGATAGAAACTTTTAGAATTAAGGGAATATACAGTTACATTTTTTTTTTTTGGTATATACAAGTTCTTCTATACAGAGATAGTCTATTTGGAAATAATACTAATTAACTTAGGTTTCCTGATGATTCTCTTAATGGAGCCAGTTATATGACTGGAGATATCATCATACTTCGAAACCTCTTTCAAGACCGCATCGTCGCCTTCTTCTACCAACGTCTTTGATGCTACAATCGTACCTTTATGCTTCCCATTAATGAAGACATTATAGGATTCTGTTTGGGATTCAATAGGTTGACATTCTGGGAACGATTCATGGAAAATCGATCTAACTTCTCTCTCTTGGCCATTGGCAAGTCGTTCCCAACATTCTTCAGCAGTAGCGGGGGTGACTGATGACATACATATCAAAAGTTTCCTATATGAATCAACTAATAATTCTTTGTTGTAATCCAGTTTTGAATTAAGAGCAGTCGTGATTGCGTTGGATAATTTCATCATATCTGAAATAATGGTATTGAACGAAAAATCAACTTCAATAGATTTGGCAATTCCCTGGACATATCCTTGGGTCTCATTATATAATTTAAGCTCATCTTCATTAAATTCAAGTTCTTCATATACTTTATCATTAAGTTTAATATTTTTAAATACCGATTTATTCTTTCCGGATCCAACCTTGGTATCTGGAACCTCTAAAATTCTCTCACTAAGTTGAATCACTCTCCTTAACCATCTATCGGTCCCTGCAATCTGATCTTCATTCCAATTAAGCACATCCGAAATCGGAGCCGAAAACAACATATGTGCCCTCGTAGCATCAGCACCATATTTCTTAATACACTCACCCGGATCAGCACCATTATATTTCGATTTCGACATCTTTTCAAAACTAATCAATGCAGTCTCGCCCGATTTCTTAATGATTGGATTCAGAGGGTCTGTCAAGTCAACTTCATCTGGTTTTAAGAAACGTCCATTTTCGGGATCGGTATAAGTTTTTCCATGTACCATACCTTGAGTAATCAATTTCTTGAATGGTTCCTTGCGTACATCTTTCCCATTCCATAATCCAACATCACCTAAGAATTTGGAAATGAATCGAGAATATAATAAATGTAAAATGGCATGTTCGACTCCTCCAACATATAAATCAACCGGCATGTCTTTGGCAGCTTGAGCTCCGAGTGGTAATTCCTCATTCTTGGGATCTAAGTACCTTAAGAAATACCATGATGAATCCATAAACGTATCCATGGTGTCGGTTTCTCTCTTAGCTGGACCACCGCAGGATGGACATTCACAATTGACAAATGAATCGATCTTGCCCAATGGGTTCCCTTTCCCGAAATGCTCATCTACGGCATGGGGTAAGATAACAGGTAAGTCTTTTTCTGGAACTGGAACGGGCCCACAGTCATGACAATGGATGATGGGGATTGGTGCACCCCAATATCTTTGTCTACTGATTAACCAATCACGAAGTCTGTAGCTAATGGTGTCTTTCCCAAGAGAATTGGATTCGAGATTCTTGGTGATTAATGCACCGGCTTCTTTGACTGACATTCCTCTGTATCCTCCAATTGATTCCAATCCATTTGCAAGAATAGCTTTATCCAGTAATACACCACTCTTGTCAGTGTATGGATTTGGAACTTCGGTACAATCAGCAGAAGGTGCCACCACTTGGATTGTCTCTTGAGTGGGTTCATGTAATCTCCAGAACTCGAAATCTCGATCATCATGTCCAGGACATCCCATGACTGCACCATGACCATACCCTCCAATAACATAAGGTGCGACATAAATAGGAACATCAAATTTCAAACTTTTGTTATTGCTGATATCGATTGGAATACTAGCTTTGATGGATTTTAATTTATATCCTGCTTTAGTATCAGGATCGGTATCTCTTTCGGCTTCTTTGATAAATTTTGCCAATTCTTGATCATCCTTAACTAATTCATTCACAATTGGATGATCCAAAGCCAATGCCAAAAATTGAACACTGAATAATGTATCTGGTCTAGAAGTGAATACGGTAATCTGTTCACGTCCTCCATTTACTGGGAAATGGATTTCTGACCCATGTGATTCCCCAATCCAATTACGTTGCATAGTCTTCACTTTATCAGGCCATTCGGTCAAATATTCAAGATCCTTATTCAAATCAGCCGCGTATTTAGTTATACCAATAAACCATTGAGTCAATTTCTTTTTCTCCACTAATGCTCCACTTCTCCATGACCTACCCTCAGAATCGACTTGTTCATTAGCAAGCACTGTCTGGTCTACCGGGTCCCAATTAATCTCCGCTTCTTTCTGATATACTAATCCATGTTCATGCAACTTCAAAAAAATCCATTGGGTCCATTTATAATAATCGGCCGAACTGGTATTCACTTCTCGATCCCAATCGAAATCAGCTAAAAATGCACTCATCTGTTCCTTCATTTTGGAAATATTCTGTTCGGTCCATTCAGCAGGCGGGATTCCTCGCTCAACTGCTGCATTTTCCGCTGGTAAACCGAACGCATCCCATCCCATTGGATGGATGACCTTGTAGCCTCGTAATCTCTTGAATCGAGCAAGAACATCACTGATAGTATATACACGTAAGTGACCCAAATGTAAGACTCCCGAAGGGTATGGAAACATAGATAATGAATAAAATGTCTTTTTAGTTTGGTCATTGTTTTGGATGTCTTTGGTAGGATGAAGAGATCCTGATGGGGATTGAGATTTCCATTTATCTGCCCATTTCTTGTCTAGTTTGGAAAAATCGAGTTTCCCATTGGTCATGAGGGATGACTCGGTTGATATTGAACGAGTAGCATCTTTGACTAGTCGAAGTATCCTACCTTGGATCAACGACTGTTTGTATATTAGTCTCATTGGGTAGTGGTTTGGGAGTAGAAATTATCTATCGATATAATTTTCCAGGGTCAAGAATCTTGAATAATTTTTTTTTTTTTCAATTTTTTCAGTTGCCGTTTTGGGAAGAGTCAAAACCTCCAAATGTTAACGTTCTATGATTTAAAAATAAACTTGACTCAATGCAATTAAAGTATTGATGAATTATAACTTAGAGTTGTAGAATTTATAGATAGAATTGATCATCCATCCAGGTAAATACATCTGCCATTTGTATCAATTGATGTCTCATCGACTGGTAGGCATCTAAATAGGGGAGTTTGATTTAACAAGTAGCATAAAAATTTCAAGTTATCAACTCACAACTTTAATTATAACTTGACGGAAATAAGCTTAAAATGAGTAAACTTTGAAAAAGGGTCAACGTGATTTAACCAAGATTGAGGGGATGGTAATAAGGGTTGAATGAGGAGAACAGAAGATAATTACAAATTGAGGAGACCAAAGTGTGTTCATATTAATCGCAAATAAGGTTTGATCAAAAGGAGAAAGAGCAGGCTAGCAAATCCAGATAGTGAGAATAAGGCGATAAATAGAACACGAAATTCCTCAGATTATACCAAAAGTAAAGCCATCAGTTCAAAAGTATCACATATTGACTTTAAAAATGGAGGATGACACGGAATCATTGTATAGTATTACATCCTCGATAGAGCTGTTGTTCCTGGTGACAAGTTGCTTTTACACCGGACAACCCCCTCTGTTTCTAATTGAAACCGTCCGCAAATACACCATTACCAACTCTCCAGGAATCCTAATCGCAAACGTTGCACAACTTAGAGAAAGACATTCCATGCTAGAAATAATTTATTCCATAAGAGATGGTATGAAAGAAGCATGGAGTAGTCTTGAGGAAAAGTTTGAAGGTGTGAATGATGCTGAATTCAAACAATTGGAAGAATTCTTGTTGGAAAATTTAGATAGTTGGAATTGGGGAACTTTCTTGAGTTACAAATGCAGGAAGCTTCAGAATTTTATCTATGTTAGAAGGTGTTTGCTGCATGCACGTGTGCGTGGTTATGATGATTTTAATGTTAAAATGGACCCATTTCCTCCAAGGTATGTTTATTCGAATAAATTCGCAAATATTCAAGAAAGGTTTATTAAATATCTACAACAAATCGAGTTTGTTGTTAATAACGAGCGATTCCGTCTTGTATTTGAACAAAAGGAATCTGCTTATGAATTATTTTCATTAAAGGCTAGTATTTCTAGGCTTAGTCAAGTTCTCGAAATTTTCAAATCAAGTATGTCAGAAGAAGATGAATTGGTTATTGCGGAAATTCCAGAACCCAGTGACGTAGAGGTTGACGATGCTCCAGATGACGACTATTGTTACTCATTTTTTGTGATTAGACTGAAAACTGGAAAAATCCAGAGTGTCCACAAAGATTTCCATATTAAGAAACTTGACATCAAGTTGACTGCTCCCTCAAGAGATTCTGCCTAGGACTCTGACGAAAGCAATACAAACAGGAACAAAATCTCAGGGCAATGCGTATAATATTTAATTTGGAAGATCTGGTAGGAGCGCAAGAAGGGTAACTTCCTTGAATTGGTAGCTCCACGTCTTACGTTCAAGTCTTTATTCGTGTGTAATTCACGGAGATTGCTTCTTTCGCTGCCTGTGTTGTGTAAACATGATTTATGAGAAATATCCATAATGGAAACAGCCATGAGTGCTAGACTCATCAACATCTTGACCCAGTTACATTCATTTCTAAATAGTCTATAAACATATATGCTAATCTTCTCCAATCCTCCTAATTCTCTTACCTTCAAGAGATTTAAGTGAACTAAACAAGAATTCACAAATCCCATCAAACCCAAACTCATCCAATTTTTGTAACACCTTAACTCTCAACCCATCAAAATCATAATCCAACCATGTCACCCCTTCGTTATCTTTCAATCTCCGAATACTCTGTCTCGTAATTGGACCTTCGTGTCTCGTATTTATCATATCTGCATTATCTTCAAGTTTCCAAACTATATTAGTCACGATGTACACCAATGCCGGATTCGTGAACAATCCACCCAATGTCGCCGTCGTAAAGAAATCATGATCAAAAATATGTAGTGACCCCACTTTGTTGATGAATTCCGGATGGAGATAGAATGCTTTATTAGCAGAAGATGGGATTTCATCATATGTTAAGAATTTCTCCCTCCAAAGGAAATTAACCGTATCCATTGTGAATGTATTTTGGATTGATTTCAATTGTTGTAGTTTGAATTTATGGGATTTACAAAACAGGATATGCTTACATATGTCCGATAATGATAATGGATCTCCATCCAATAACAGTGAATATACTAATGATTGCGGTATGAGGATATTACGATCGTCGAGCTTTTTCAAGACTGGGCTGTCTAATGATTGGATGAATTCGGTCATTAATCTGATCATTTGGTTCTTGTGTGCGGCTTCGCATGATTGAATGTATTTATATATCATTGATAATATTAGATTGATATCGTCGCCTGAATCCAGTTCATCTAGTGGATTATAATCAAAATAATCGATCAAGCTTTTGAGAAATTCCGTGGAGATCTCTTCTGTTACTTGATGTTTAATATCTAGTAATTTAGTGATATCTTGAACAATGGTATTGGATAGATCAGAAATGTCAATTTGTTTTAAATACTTCAACAAACCATATCTAAACGGTAACGTTTCTAAGAACTCTCGTTTCGTGACACTTCTTTGCAATACAAAATCGGTCACCAGAGGGAATTCAATTGTCCCTCCACCAGTATGCAAAATATATGATATTTGTTTTATGAAATCTTCATATTCTGATTTGCTCGATAATTGATCAGATAAACTTATTCTAACAAATGAATCTAATCTGGTAATTAAATTAGTATTGCCATATTGAAATACCAATGGTAACACTTTATTCACTTGTTGTTTTGGTAATCGGAATAATGAATATGGATTTATATTATATATATCATCCAATAGAAGCAATGATTTGTTGGCTCCATATACATCATCTCTGCTTCTTCTCAACATTTTCTTTCGTCTTTTATTGGCAAGCATTACATCGGTGTTAAATTCACGGTCATCTTCTTCCTCTTCTTCTGCGGCTTCTTGACGGTCCATGAAATCGGCAAATAGATGTCGTTCATTACTCTTTAATCGATTAAGGGTTTGGAAACCATCATGGGTATATGCAATATAGTCAATAGTAGGATCAACTACTCTAAAAAATGCCAATAATTCTTGTAAATATAAATCCAATGGGAATTTCTCATAAAGATCAACTACCCATTGAATGTGCCAGTGCTTCAATAGTGTTATTTGGTGATATGTATCTCGATTGAAATATGTCCTAACCGGTTCAATATTCTCTTGTAATAACAACACTATTAATCTTGAGATTTGAACTCTCAGAAACTCATAAGATAATGTTTTGATAAGTAAAGAAAGTACAAGATTACCTGATTGAATCAATGCGACTCTAAAATATTCAAAATTATCAATTAACCAATTTAATATCTGAATTTGAAGTGATGTTGGGACTTTCATTGTTTCAAATCGTAGTTGACCTTTATAATAGATTTCATTAGTACCAATATTACTAATGATCTGCCAAAATAAAGTAATAGAAATTGGCTCTTTTAATGCTAATACATTGTCTATTATGAATTCCTTACGTCTAAGTGAAATGGAAGTTGATGGTGATTTATCAAATATAATTTTAAACAATTCTAATATTATATCTTCTTCAAACCCTTCTTTCATAGCAATTTGTGAAAGATTTTCAATGATTCTACTATCAAATATTCCATCTGTTTCTAATCGGGAGATTAATCTTTGGATCTCTACTTGACTATCATATTGTGATTGAGTGTNCATCTGTTTCTAATCGGGAGATTAATCTTTGGATCTCTACTTGACTATCATATTGTGATTGAGTGTAATTCATAGTATAACTCATAGTAGTAGTAGTAGCACTGTGTGCATATATAAATAACTGTTTAGGATGATGGGTATTGTTTATTTGTTGTGGTGATCATTGAATTGAATTTTTTTTTGTTCATCACATTTAGACGCGTCGTTTTGAATTTATTAAGCGGCTTTTGGGGGTGTTTTCATCTGCTTATTTTCATTTTATAACATTACTATTTATTCACTATGTATTACTTGTTGTAAGTAGAAAAAGTACAACATACATATACATAGGAATATAAATATAGTGGTATTAATTAGTTTCCTCAATATATGCTTTCTTTGCCCATTAAGTTAGACTTCCATTGATTCTGAATTATATTCAATCTGAATCACGTGTACTGAGTTACTTCTAATATGACTCCAAAACTAATAATATATTAAGTGAATAATTGTACAAATATTACAATTTATAAAAACAAGCATGCAGTAGTATAAATAATGAAGTCTTGTTGATCTCTAATATCTTGAGAGTTTAAAGGTCTTTAGTTGTATTTCTTAGTCTAGCGTAATTTGTTCTAAATTAATGTAAAAAAAAATATCGCAGCCATTTTAGACAACATATAACTCAAACTAGATGATCTATTTTATATCAATGATTTTAAACTACTGCAAATCATAAACAATATCAAGAGCTTCTTTACCGGATAATTCGAATTAGTTGAAACATATCTCGCTTTATGGGAGCCTGAGTTCGGGTTACCATCATACCACATTCTGCTGTGTTATTAGGTTTTCCAAAAGCATGGCCCTATGCGACTGCACATAATCACTCCTTACACAATTTGAAACATTTACTATTAAGTCAATTAATAAATTACACATTAAAGTTAAAGTTAAATTTATCAAAATTTACACATAACAGGAGAGAAAATTAGAGACAAGTAAGTAATTCATATTTATTAAGTATACTTTTAGTAATAAATTTTATCGATAATTATATTTACATTAAATCCATTACAAACACGTGTGTCTCCTACTAAGGACTTGAATAACCATGCCCACTAACTCAACACGGACGATCTTCGGAAGTTCATTATTCTTGGAGTTGTTTTATAGTAATCTCTATAGAACCTTTCCTAACGGAAGTAGCTTTTGTCAAACCAATTAGATTGACCGTAAATGACTCGCCCTCTTGTGAAATTGTGACAGCGACATCAACAGGATCTGGCGACGCCTTGGGTTGTTGAGGTTCTTCCGCTAACGGAATTTTCCTCGGTCTGCCTACTTTCCTCTTGACCACGGTCTCAGGAGGAGAAATCATCTTGTCTATTGTTAAACCTTGTTCGGTCGTTGCTGAGAGTTGTTTTATAGTAATCTCTATAGAACCTCTCCTAACGGAAGTAGCTTTTGTCAAACCAATTAGATTGACCCCAAATGTCTCGCCCTCTTGTGAAATCATGACAGCGACATCAACCGGATCTGGCGACGGCTTGGGTTGTTGAGGTTCTTCCTCTAATGGAATTTTCCTAGGTCTACCTACCTTCCTCTTGACCACGGCCTCAACAGGTGGATCTTCTTCGGCACGTGGAAAAACCCCATATTGGAACCAAGGGTCAATAGTGGGTTTGTTTGACACATATCTAACCGAAGCTTTTGATATTGTTGGAACAAGTGCCTTGGCATGCTTGATAGCTGCTTTTGCAACTAAGAAGCTTGTATATCTACCCACTGCATTCATCAGAAAGGTGCTTCTTAACATTTTTAAGCAAAGATAATTAAATTATCGTTTTCTTTTGTGAAAACAAGCTAAAGTGGCCGCCTAAAAGGCGGCCCACCGCTCACTGTTGAGTGAAAGAAAAAATTTAATAAGAACAAATGAATTAATACACAATAAATAACTAATATAACAATAAACACTAACAAAAATGACAACAAACAGTAACAAATATCTAAGGTGAGAATATTTCAGGATAAACTTCATTCTGAGTCTTT